TTACATTCGGTTGAGTAAATTCGAATAAATTCGGTTATTGATCGGTATTCCTATCACTTGGTTTGTGCAATCATAAATTTTGTCGTTGAACAAATATTGTTCATAATCTTGCAGATAAATTCCACAACAATTTTTCTCGACCTTGCTTTTCTTGCTGTGGTTGTTCTCATCACACTCAACATTATTCCTATCACAATCCCGAGACGATTTATGTCCTATTTCTTTTTTGAACGCATAGAATTTACTTCCATGAGAGTTGCATAATTCACGATCGAATTGTAACCCTGTTTTAGTGAGAAAGAGTTGAAAAGCTGTTGCTTCTTCTGTTTTAACGGAATTGCCTCCAGTAAAAAATTGTTTTCCTTTGCGTGGACATTCTTTGATGATGCAGTTGTGATTTTGGTTGTCTCGGCATTTTTTTATGTCGGCTTTAAAGACTTTGCATTATCAACAAGAAGTTAATAATACGATATTATTAAGCAAATGAAAGAATTTCAAACCTTCTCGTGTTAAAAGCTTCTCCATAGTAGTGTTTGCATACAAAAATTTGACAGATGAAATTCCATGGTGTTGTATTAATGAAGAAAACCAAACAAGTTCGCTTGATTTTAAAAATACTGCTGAAAAACTTGTTTTAATCGCATGTGAGCTAATATTCTAGTAAATTAAAGTATATAAGTCGGTAATTAGTACATAATTCCATCTGATACAACGATATGGTATCGAAATTAAACAATTGAATTTCCATGAAATCTTATTGTTTGGGAAAATTAACACAGAAAGATCTTCTTCCAAAAAATGCTTGAATATATTAATAAAAAAGAAAAACAACACAATATTCAAGAAAAGGAAAGTAGATCAGAGGTTCATCACGAATGATATGCCTGGGAACCTCCTGAATTTGGTTAGAAGAATCCCCATGAAGCCCTATTAATTGTGAACAAAAGGTACTAAAGAAAAATTTTAATAACACAGATCATGATGTGAAAGTGACCATTTGATTTTCTGCTATATTACAGCAGTGGACAACACATGTATCAATATTTAGCTTTAACGTTAAGATCTCTACGTAACTTCGTCTAAATGAATTTCCATGGAAGAGTATTAACTGAGAAAATTAGCGACGTATCCGATGTCTAAAAAATTCTTAGATATTTTCAACGTTATAGTAATGCCATCTAATATTCTTGTAAACGAGAGCAGTTCAATATTTATCAAACATAAAAAAGGATCTATCCGAAGGACCTCTTATTAAATATAAACAGTTGAACTCCCATGAAACTGTAATAATGAAGAAATTCAACTCTGAATGTACCCCCAGCACTAAAATGCTCCGCAGGTGGTAATGAAAAATAATGCCACTAAATATTCTTGTAAACGAGAGCACTTCAGAACTTCATCACATAGACTCTAATCAAGTTCATCGGATACTATACGAATATGTTTAGTTGAATTCCCATTGACCTCTCTTAATGATCCAATTCAAAAACATATGCATTCATATACTCTTCCACCACCTTATAATCCTGGATGGTCAAATGATGGTGTTACTACTATAAGACGCCTGTTGGCTCATACTTCAGGAATTATATCACTTGGAATTATGCCTTATACTCCAGTAGATGGTGCTCCACTTCCAACCACTAGTCAATTGATATCATCTCAATCGTTCCCGATAATTTCGGTCAATGCAAACATTCCGACAACAAGTGCTGTAGTAATTGCAAAGAAGGTAATACTCGATGTAAAGGCATTTCTTTCGAAAAAGTGAGCCATTTACTGACGACATCCGGGACCATATCACACAATAACCATACCTTCGGAAAGGTGAATCTCAATCATCATGGCGAATTTAGTTTTTTTAGCATCGACTTTAATAATTGAAATCTCAACAAATATGGAGTTTGTGAAAAATGTTATGAATGCTATGACACAAAATTACGTCATTATCAGCGAACGATTGAAAATCAAAACACCAAAATGAATCACCTTGCTGCAAAGACACAAGAATACAAAAATGTCATCAAATCATTGAAAGCAAAAATTTCTCGACGAGATACTAAAATTAAGAAATTCGAAGAATTAATTGAGGAAAAAGATCAAAAACATTATTTGATAGAACTTCTCTCGGTTGCACTAGAGGAAGGAAAATTACACGAAACCCAGTTCTTTTATCAATTATTAGAAAATACTTTGCAAAATTTGGTTTCAAAGAAAAATGTTAACGGTTTTCGATACAAAGAGTGTATTATTTGTTGGTGTTTATTACTTCGATTTTATGGTGGCTCTCGTTTGTGGAATGTCTTGAAAGGAAATTCCACTGGCGACATTATAACATCCGAAAACGCATTGGATAAGCTTAATTTATTGCTTCCATCTATCTCAACAATTAAGAGCTATCTTTCCGACTTGTCTTTTGGAAAACTTGCTGACAATGATTTGAAAGATGTTGTTAAAGCCATGGCAATGAATAATATTAGTAACAAGATTATAATTTCATATGATGAAATAGAAATTAGAGGAGGGTTATGTGTGATGAAAAGCATTGGAAAAGTGATTGGATTTACTAATTGCAATGAAAAATCTTTTGAAGATATATATAATTCAAAAAAAGAAATTACACCAGACTATATTGCTCGTCATATGTGCCAATTTTTCGCTACAACTATTGACGGTGAGATGTCCTTTCCTATTTGCTTTGGTGGTCATAAATCAAACCATTATGAATTTATTACAGAGAAAATGACAGAAATTAGAGATCAATTTAAACGAACTTCATATGGAAATTATGCTCTAGAAGTGGTTGGAGGTTGTAGTGATGGCTTAGCTGGCAATTATCAATTTGTAATCTCTCAAACTAATGAAAATTATGTTCATCTTTTTGATTGGTCTCATTTGCTCAAACGGTTGAGAAATCGTTTATTGAAAGGGGATGATTTGATTATCGATAATGAGAGTTTTTCAATGAATACATTATTGAAAATTAGAAATGAACCCCAATTGCAAGATTGGGTAACGGAAAGCATTATTTATCCTGTCGATATATGAAAATGGAGCCTGTTTTTACTTTAATAGATCCTAATGTTATAAGTGGGATTGAGCAAAGTAATCAATCAGGATGTGTTGCATTAGCGAAATATTTAACCTTAATGCAACAAATACATCAAATTTTTGACGATGTGAAATGTCCGACCTGGAATGAGAAAAAACAATTAATTGAAACAGTGTTGACAACACTTAAGGGATGGAAAGATGCAAATCCTAACATCATTAGTGACGAATTGTATTCTCATATTGAAATGACTTTATTATTTCATAAATATCAATATCCGATCTTTTTGATCACAAACCATACTCAAATTAAGGCTTGTGTAATTTCAACATTGATTGTTAAACATTTTTTTTCCTCCTTAATTCGAGGAAAAATACGATATCCCAATTTTCGAGATTATTGTGGGATCTATCGAGCCGTATGGTTGCTTTGAAGACCAAATTGGCGAAAAATTCTCCATTTAACATCAATCGACAATCTACAACAAAATGTTATGGAAATTGTAATGTGAATTTAGAATATTCCAAATTACATCGAAAGCACTATGTGAAAAAACGCACTCTTCAAGAAGAACATGAGGATTCTTTATTAGAGAACGACAAAACTATTTTCGAAGAGATGTATGAATATATTCTCGATACAACTCAAGATTTCCTTCCACAGAAAAATGTGATGCTGATACGAGAATATTTATGTAAACAAGCACCAGTCGCGGATGATGGAACTATTATGAATAATATTCTTTTGACCTGTCCTGCATGTAATTAAATAATGGTCCGACAACGATCATTCATTAAGCACTTACAATATCATAATTATTCACCTCAGCAATGCAAAGATGCGCTCTACAATACAATTATTGATTCACTTAAATCTCGCCAATTTGGCCAACAAGTGGAGGGCATTATTGAAGAAGTAGCAACCAAATTGGTAACCAATACTTTTAAGCAACCTGAATTACCAAAAGAATCATTTATTACATTTAATGCAGAAAAAGGATTGTTTGTTCCATCTAATGAGAAACAATCACAACCAGAAAATATTTTAACAACAAATATCACCTCCATAGGCTCCATTTCAGAAAATTCAACTCAAATGTCACAACCTTTACTTCAAAGCAAATATATATTTTTTGATTTTGAAACGACTGGATTTTGGAAGAATGATGATCCACCAAAAATTACAGAATATTGTTTTGTGGATGTTTTGGCTGGAGTTGTTTTGTATGGCTTAGTTAATCCTGGTAAAGCCATTTCTAGCCAAGCACAAGGAATATATGGATTGAATTTGAACAATTTGAGATCAAAACTACCTATTGAAAGTCATGTGAACGATATTATTCAATTTTTAAGTAATAACTCTCAAGGGAAAACTTATTTAATAGCTCACAATGGCGACTGTTTGGACTTCAAAGTTTTTGCAAAAGAATTTTTCGGAAAGTTTCCTGAGTTTAATTATGACAATATTGTTTTTGTTGATTCTCTCCAATTAATGAAATCAGAGTCGACTTTACATAATTGTCTTCCTCGTAAAACGACAAAGACAGGAAAACTAAACTTTGGGTTTGGGTTTGGGTTTGGGTTTGGGTTTGGGTTTGGGTTTGGGTTTGGGTTTGGGTTTGGGTTTGGGTTTGGGTTTGGGTTTGGGTTTGGGTTTGGGTTTGGGTTTGGGTTTGGGTTTGGGTTTGGGTTTGGGTTTGGGTTTGGGTTTGGGTTTGGGTTTGGGTTTGGGTTTGGGTTTGGGTTTGGGTTTGGGTTTGGGTTTGGGTTTGGGTTTGGGTTTGGGTTTGGGTTTGGGTTTGGGTTTGGGTTTGGGTTTGGGTTTGGGTTTGGGTTTGGGTTTGGGTTTGGGTTTGGGTTTGGGTTTGGGTTTGGGTTTGGGTTTGGGTTTGGGTTTGGGTTTGGGTTTGGGTTTGGGTTTGGGTTTGGGTTTGGGTTTGGGTTTGGGTTTGGGTTTGGGTTTGGGTTTGGGTTTGGGTTTGGGTTTGGGTTTGGGTTTGGGTTTGGGTTTGGGTTTGGGTTTGGGTTTGGGTTTGGGTTTGGGTTTGGGTTTGGGTTTGGGTTTGGGTTTGGGTTTGGGTTTGGGTTTGGGTTTGGGTTTGGGTTTGGGTTTGGGTTTGGGTTTGGGTTTGGGTTTGGGTTTGGGTTTGGGTTTGGGTTTGGGTTTGGGTTTGGGTTTGGGTTTGGGTTTGGGTTTGGGTTTGGGTTTGGGTTTGGGTTTGGGTTTGGGTTTGGGTTTGGGTTTGGGTTTGGGTTTGGGTTTGGGTTTGGGTTTGGGTTTGGGTTTGGGTTTGGGTTTGGGTTTGGGTTTGGGTTTGGGTTTGGGTTTGGGTTTGGGTTTGGGTTTGGGTTTGGGTTTGGGTTTGGGTTTGGGTTTGGGTTTGGGTTTGGGTTTGGGTTTGGGTTTGGGTTTGGGTTTGGGTTTGGGTTTGGGTTTGGGTTTGGGTTTGGGTTTGGGTTTGGGTTTGGGTTTGGGTTTGGGTTTGGGTTTGGGTTTGGGTTTGGGTTTGGGTTTGGGTTTGGGTTTGGGTTTGGGTTTGGGTTTGGGTTTGGGTTTGGGTTTGGGTTTGGGTTTGGGTTTGGGTTTGGGTTTGGGTTTGGGTTTGGGTTTGGGTTTGGGTTTGGGTTTGGGTTTGGGTTTGGGTTTGGGTTTGGGTTTGGGTTTGGGTTTGGGTTTGGGTTTGGGTTTGGGTTTGGGTTTGGGTTTGGGTTTGGGTTTGGA